AATTCCAGAAAATTTATCCATTTAACAAAAAAAATCGGATACACAGATTTTTTGTGCGAACGTATTTGCATAAAAAAAATGCACATTTAGATTCCCTAATATATTATACATCCAATTAATTTTAAAAACAAATAAATTCAATTAGTTCTTAATCGTAAAAAATATAATAAAATAAATCTATATTTCAAATAAATTAATCGATTAAATTAATAAATTTATCGATAATATATATTATATTTAATATCCTAATTCATCGAAATAAAATAAATATATAAGAATTCCGATCCCCTTTGAAATAAAGGGGGAGGGATTGACAACCGCAATTTTGTAAGGGCTCCAGGGTTGCAGTCTACAAAAAGCCCTAACCCAAGGGCATTGGGTTTGTACAAAATGACATGGGCCAGAGTGGGCTTATACAAAAAGGTTATGCCTGAAGATCACTATCTTGTGCTGAAAAGTGCATAAAACAGCCATTTAGCAAAGTGAGTTCTCTACAAAATGGTATCAAATACCTGGTCGAGGACATGATTTAAGACTCCATTTGTTGACCATTCCGGAACCATTCTGTAGAGAAATTGTGTGCGCACGCATCTGACTGTTCTTTTTTTAATCCAAACTTAAGCGGCGATTGTACTGTGCAATGGCATATGTTGAACATCGGACTCTAATAGAGGATGTCAGAAACTATATGATTTTTTGTTTTTGTTTAATGAACTTGCGGTGCTAACGGAAAGTATATTAAACAATGCTTACATCTAAAAATCTTGCTTACAATATAAAATGGGGATGACCCTGAACTATCTCTACAAAATGTGAACCTCAGGTATTTGGAGACTAATTCATATTATCCATTCTAAATTTGACCTTTGCTGTCCTGTGAAATAGTGTGAAATGCATTCAAATGCCAATATGATTCTTTGTTCATGCCGACTTTGTGGGACATGCCAATATGATTCTCTATTCATGCCTACTTTGTAAAGACAAATATTGGTGACAGTCATTGTGTAAACAAATCTTTGGTCCATCCTCATTTTATGAATCGTGGCTGAGTTTCTCAATGCTCTTTGGTCAGCGGAAGGAAGAGTTGGCACCACGTGTACTGGGACGAGTCCATTGGATGCAGAGTGGATTTGTTTTATGTACACCGGGTACGCCGCTGAAAAAGTTGTTGGCGCAACTCAGGGGGTAACCGGCATAGCCATAGATGGCTCAACACCCCATATTGAACATTAAACATCACGAAAACTAAGGCTGCACCTTGACCAAACCAAGCGTTTTTTGTAGATTCTATAGATGGCGCATCCCAAAGTTCTTTTTCCCATCCTAAAAAATGAACGCGACAAACAAACACAAGGACTGCTCAGGAATCTGGACAGTGAGATTTGCAGAATTGAAACCTACTGTATGCATTGATTGGCATTGCGCCATCTGTGGTTCTGACATAAGGCCTCCATGCGCAGAAAAAAGGCCAAGATTTTTGGCAACAAAAATGTTGTAGTTTTTCAGGGTTTTTGGACTTGTAGATGGCGCAACAGTGGGTTGCCCCCTAGAATTCGAAGACGAAGCAACAAAAAAATACAAACCATCAATTTTCACCTCGGAGTATGTATTTGTATCTGACTCAGGCGACTAAAGAATTTAATTCCAAGAAACGAACACTCAAACGTGTACAAAAAGGGTACCCTAACCCCCTATTTTTCCTTGATTTTGGCCCTGTACAAAAAGGGTACCCTAACGTCCCCATGTCTCATATAAATATTCTTTAATTTTTTTTAATCATAATTTAGATGCCGATTTTGACTCTACAAAATGGGAGGGTGCAAGTTTCGGCATCTGCTAAAAAGTATTTTAATATAAAATAACCCCTTTGTAAGGGCCTCGAGCTATCCCTATCTATAGAGGAAATTTCAACGGAGATAAATTTCGAATATATTCCAAATATAAATATATATATATATAAAATATTAAAAATACCTTTCGTATTAACCTTTTCGTTTAATCTATTAATTCAATGTAAATAAATATATAATAATCCATATTTCGCAATATCACCAAATAAATTATGCATAGCAAAAATCACTTTATGTAAATTCGCACGAAACCAAATTTTCATCAAAAGAAAATTGCAATAAAAAATTCAAAATATTTATCAAAATTATCCCTTCAATATAGGAAATTCAAAAAAAACAAATATATATTATTATTCTATAAAAGTGGTATGGGAATGGTATGGAAGTAATAAAATAAATATCCTTATAGGAATAATATAGAGAATCGGGAATGTAAATCAGTAGTATAGGAGTAGGAAAGGAATAATATGGTCTTAACTACCATAGTTGTCAGGATGTTTTAAGTTTGAGCAGATGCCCATGTGCATAATTCTCCCATAATTTTATAGGAAAAATCCATATCTCCAATTCCTTGAACCTATATTGCTCCCATGCACAGGTACCAAGGTTGCAGGTACTTGAAAGTTCGGTAGAGCAGGAGCGGTCCCCGCACAGCAACGCAAACAGTAAGCAACAGGAGCAGCCACGGCGGCCGTTACAGCAGCAAAAGCACTTATTCTTACTCTTGGCCCAATATCATCCACGCAGCTGCTCCCTAATTTTGTATGTACGGATAAAAACCAGGACTAACAATAAATTGTAGCAGACAACGAGTGGCAAGAAAAAAGACACCTCAGACAATGGAAAGGAAGGCAGAGAAGTCGCCTGAGAAAAAGCAAAAGACAAAGCAAATAAGGCTCGCAAGCCCAAGGCCATGCATGGCCAGGCTACCATGGAGGGGCAGCCGGTGCAATCAGCGTCCAAAAAGATCAAGAAAACGGATTCTGAGAGTGATGAGAATGGCAGCGACGGACTTTGCTGCTGCAAATCTATGACTTGTGAGGTCTATTCTCACTTCAAACATTGACAAAGCGGTTCACGCTGCAGAAAAGAACTTGCAAATGGTTACTTCACAAACAAACGCACAGCATAGAATGCTGGAGTTGGAATGAAGTTAAGTTAGATGTGTGTGTTTTGGAAGTAGCAAGTGGGAAGATTGAGTTTCCCAACCATTCACTACCAACAAAAATAATCCTCACCTCACATGTGTGTTTATAATCCCTCAGAGATCCACATAAACAACACAAACTACATCACAGACACCTACATGGCCCTCGGTTTGCAACATTAAAAAAAACAATCCATAGCCCCACTTCTGCAACATTGAGGGCTCTGCAAAGGCTTTTTCCTAGTCCCAGGGGGTAGCCACTTCTGCAATAGCAGGGAATGGTTGAAACAACATAAACAATATATGCACGAAGACAGAGAAACGGTGTTTAGCGGTGTTTACCAAACGACTTCGGCTCCACTCTCAAACACGTTCGACCGTCGCGCGTGGGTTCCCGTCGCAAAACCTCCCGTCTCGACCGTCTCGACCGATCCCAAAACTCGTCGCCACAACGGAGTGAACAAATCGAGACGAGTGCGTAGCACTTGGGAGTAGCCCATAGACTCCATGGGACTGCCATAGATGCCGATATACATTGACCCCTCTGGCACCACCCCTGGCCTGATCGGCATATATGGCAGTCCCATGGAGTCTATGGTTACTACTACACCTGAGGTGATTCTGATTGCCTTTTGTATCCTTTAGTGTGATTCACAAGTAGCGTACAAAAAGCCATGTATAATTCGAGAATCTTATTGAGATTGTTTTCCCTGGTTTCTTCGTCCCAGGTGAAAGTTCATTGACCGTCATCCGCAGTGGAATTGTCAATTATCATTGTGGGAATATCAATTCAGGCTACAGTATCAGTACCAACAGAAAGTGCTTCAGAATGGTTGTTTGATCCAATCTTGTCGAAATGGATGTACAGCTGATCGGCCGTAGTTTCGGAAAGCAATCCAGATCTCCATCACAACACAGCAAACCAAACAACGTCGCAAAAGCACTCTCCGCAAAAATCACATTGGATAAAATCGCACCGCAGTCCACTCTGGGAAACCGCACACCAACTCACATCTTTCGTGCACCAGCCACACGGAAAGAGCAAAACAGGTCTTTCAGACATAGACTTCATGCAATAAACTTCTTCAGATACTGAGTGCACGACGTCGTGCACTCCACGCACCACATCACGTGGACTTCTTGTGGAGTGTACCAGCGAGATGCCGATGTGCCGACCAAAGCCATCTGCTTTTTGTCTCCAACTCAGTGGACGTTGCACTGAGTCTCCGCCTGCAGGAAGACACGTGCCGCAAAAACCCGATGTTCCAAAAGGCCCACGTGTACCAAAACAAAATGACTCTCTGAGATCTGGATCTCTGACACTCTAGGCCAGGGATGGTGCCAGAGGGGTCAATGTATATCGGCAGTCCTATGGCAGTCCCATGGAGTCTGGTAAGATGTTCATCCAGTGACATGTCGGGTCGGATGTGACGTAGTGACGTTGCACCCCGAGCGACCCCTTCCTCCGATTTGGTGAACCCTTCGGGTGGGCGCCACGTGAACCGTCTTCTTCGGCGTGCTGCGCCGTGCTTTGACGACGCGAGAGGCGACTGCCGTGCTTCGGCGTCTCAGAACGATGAAGGAGACGTCTCAAGGAGGTTTTGTGATGTCTTGTGCATGAGATCCGCTCGATTCTTCAAGATACCATGAGATACCCAATGGGTGCGGTTGGAGACTTACAGTGAAAAAGTCTAGCATGGACATGGAGTTCAAAAGGGTGCTCATTCTTGATCTTCAACCCCACTCAAGGGAATCTCACCAAAGGTTCAGGGTCTTTCTTGCTCATCTCAGACGTGCACTCGGCAAACTCACACATCAAACATCATCAAACAACTAACCGACAAATCCTTTGATCTTTGATGTATATGTTAGATGTTCTGTTCAACCGGGCTGTGACCTCATCACCGGGCTGTACCCTCTTAGCTGTGACCCAGCCTATGATCAAACAAAGCAAAGCCACCGGAGCGGTCAAACACCGGGCCTGCCGGCGAGTGGGCAGTGCTTTAGTCCATGGGCAGGTGCTTCTCCTCCTCCAGCGGATCTGGGAGGTCAGCGCAATCCTCAGGACGTTGCGTGATGGCTTCCCGACAGGTCGATGCCCCGAACAAAGGGGATGGACTCGAGGTCCAGGCTTGGTGAGCACGTGGGGGGGGGAGAACAGGGAAAAGGCTTGGTGATTGCGTAGTACTATAGTACTAGTGCGCATGTCTCTTCCTTTTCCATCATCTTCCTTTGTGCAACAAAGATGATCGTTTTCCTCGACATGACTTGTGCTTCTGCAAAAGCATCTGCCACGTGCAAATCATAACCAGTCGAATAGGCTTTACATGGTGTTGCAAAATCCGGAGCTGCTGCACGCTGTAAGAGAAGTTGCGCTGGCCACGTTGTGTCACCTTTGACGTCTCATTTCCTTTGATGGCCCCTTAGGTTGTTGATCAAGAAAAGATTGCCAATATATACATATATAGCGTTTCTACTTGTACAGTACAACTTGTAACACCTTAACACATAAAACAACCAACTACTCACTGACTTTTTGCTGGCTCTATCAATGAGAAACATGTTGTCGCCTGTTGCCTAGGTCCCAGGTACCGTTCAATGTACCCTTGTCATCAGGGCAGTCTGACCCCTGCTCACCTACCAGGACCATCCTGTCGGGGTGTCCAATGCAAACCTGTAGACACTGTAGGTCGTGTGGGGTAGTCCATCGGACACCCAGACAGGATGGTCCTGGTACCTTGCCTTTGTATCGGGACACCATCCAAGAACACCATCCGTTCAGCGACCACGGCTGCCGCCAAGCGGCCGAGGTGGTAGCAATGCCAGCCGCGGGACCGTTGGTCACGGCTGCCACCATGTCCTTTGGTCACGGCAGCCGTGAAACATGGCAACACGGGATGCGTTTCAACCAATAAGCCTTTGTTTTCATCATCCCATACACTTCATGTATGCCACATATGCCTACATTGACCGGCCAAACCACCCCAATGTAGGGATATGTGGCATACATGGAGCGTCTGGGCATGGTTCATGCTGCTTTTTCATATTTGTTCATGTCTCAAGCGGATGCTTTGTGGCATATTAGAATTCAGAGAGTTGAAAGAACAGCATGGCAGTATACATACGGCAGTCTGGTCGTGCGGGTGTTGTTTCTTTTGTGTGCAGAAAACACCACGTTGGATTGGACAAGCCTGTGACGGGGAGGTGTCACAGCTTCTTCTTCTTCGACTGAAGAGCAGCTTTGGTTCGAACAAATGGTTTTGACCTTGCCACGAACCAATTCCCGATCTGGACAAGGTATAACGGTATAACAAAATCATGGTTACAAAATCGGTGAACGGTATAACGGTTTGAACAGTTGACGGAATCATGGTTACACCTGCCTTTCAGCCAACCTCCTGATAATGCTACGCAGCACATCATCAGCCCAGCATATATAGATGCAACAAATGCAGCCCGGAAATCTCTGAATTCATGGCTACTTGCTTGGTTGTTCGATGTTTGTGTCCTAAAACATTGCCCAAATTACACCTTGGAAGCTTCAAATCCACGGTTTCGCACCTCCATCGCCGCCTCCATCGCCGCCAAGCAGCAGAGATGTCGGCAGCGCACAGGGCCTTCTGACTGCCCTTCGTCCAGCAATCCGACACGGCCAAAGCCCTCGGGGCGGACTCCGGGGCCGACTCCGCGCCCGATGAAAATCACCGGCAGGCGGGCTGCGGAGCGTTCCTTTTGTGCTCCCAAGAGAGCGAGAACTGTCAATAACTGTCAACCCAAAAAGAGGGGAACCGTCTGGATCAATATAGCTCTGCAAAGTCTGTGTGCATCAGCTTCCATCCAAGTGGCGTGAACTGGGAGATCCAAGCAAAGGAGCTGATAATGTTCAAGATGTTGATGGCGCAGGCCCTGTTAGATGGCGAAGCAAAGAGAAGCAAAGAGAAGCATCAGCACTCTTCTTGGCACCACGTTTTAGTTCTTAAGCATTCGAATCAACATTGTGATAGATGTGGAAGCAGTGGATCGGAGCCCCAGGCCTTTCAGTGGCAGCAATGGCAGTGGCAGGTGGTACGACCACCATTCAAGGATCTGCTGGAAGTGACGATTATGAGTCACCATCATGACGATTTCTCGCCAACCTGATTTGGGTGAAATCGTATAGGAGACTATAATTACAGTAGGAGAAATGGAGAGTATATGTGGGTGTTGTTTCCCTTTCGATTTCCGCTAACTTTAGCTTGTAAAATCGTATAAAGCTGCACATGCAACAAAAAGATTCCTATATTATATAGGAATCTTTTTGTTGCATGTGCAGCTTTATAACAGTGAGATGGTTGGAACTCGACCACCAGCTGACCAGCAGAAAAAGAAAGGCCATCGACCATTAAGCTTTGAATCTGGAGATTAGCAACAAAGGTCCATGTGCCATAGATGACTCAATGACTGAAACATCATGATCAAATTCATACCGAAGAGGAATGGAGAGTCTTGACTTGTCTGTCAACTCGAAGAGTCTTGGGGAAGCCCACATCTGTGCAATCCACCTTTCCTAGTTTTGTGGAGCAAATTCTAAAGACTTACAAACCAAACATATCCAAGACTCAGGATGGAGAGAACATGACACAACTTGATCACTTCATGATTTTAGGTTCATTAAACAAATGGCGAGCATGAAACGATTTGCGGACTTGTTGCATGACAATGGCCATGAACAGAATGAACGATCAACCATCCAGGTCCAGGTGTTAGTTAACCCACACCTACTACAAATTCCATGGAAATTGTTTGAAGTGATACATTGATTGTGAGCCTCGGCTCTGGGCAAGCGCTGGCCGCCGAGCGGATCTGCAGGATCACACGGACAATGTAGGCGGCCTCATGGTGCTCATACATGTTTCTGCGCCGTAGTCATGGGCTGGGAAAGAAAAGACTTCACTTGGAAAACCAAACAATTGTCCATCACATGGAATCATATAACATGCAGAAAGAATGTAAAAGTATGTTATGTATATTTAATATGGACTGCTATATTCTTACATCAATCGACAGTCATAAGTTGAATCCTTTCATGTCAAACAACAGATCTTTCTCACAGGCTTGGATCCCAAGGCGATGCGAGCCGGAAAACACAGACCTTTCCGGTCTCCGTCGTCTGGTTTCCGTCTTCGTTCTCGTCGCTGGGTCCCTCGGACCGCGTTGGTCACGTCGGCCATGACGCACTGGGTGAGGTCGAAGTTGCGGTTGCGCTTGGACTGGGCAGTTCGACCCACGGTGGGCGACGCGGTGTCACGGGGGAAGACCCCGCGGGCTGAGCCGGAGAAGCCGGACGAGGCGAGGGGGCCAAGTCGAAGGGGGAGGTAGGATGACGAACGAACTCTCTCGTGGACCTGTAGAGGATCTCTCGAAATATGTCGAGGAAGGATGAGCATGGTCCAATAAAAGCATCATAAAGCATCTAGTACGGTTGTGTCCAAACATGCAAGAAGCACATTTTTGGACAACACCGAGGGCAGATGCGGGCCGGCCTTCGGATTGCCCACCACGTTCGGACCGTTGTTTCTTCGCCACGCGACGGGGTCCGTATGCCTCTGGGGCTTCCGGACCGTGCGGAGCGCATCGACCTTGGCGATGGTCTCCACGGTGGGCGCGGCACCGGCGGGGACGAAGGCTTGCCAGTTGGGCGGCAGGGGGTTGGCGTCGGTCACGTGCAGCAGGGCAATCCAGTCCTGGGTCGTCCCAGTACAACGAGCGTGCTTCTGGGGATGGCAAGGAGCGGAAGGCAAGGAAGGCTGAGAACGCAGTATGTCGCAGTCCTTGTTGAAGTCGCAGTCCTCCTTCACAGCGGCACCCACCTTGGATGTACATGTTGTTCTCTCTGCTTGTCATTGTCAACCATCTACGTCTCAGAACTACCGTTTCCCTGTCACAGAACAAGCCACGGTCGCCATCTCCCCAAAGTTCGCCATCAGGGCCGTCCAGTCTCCCGCGCACAGGGCGCCCGAGTTGACCGCAGCGCCACAGGCGTTGGCCGCGAAGGAGAGGTACGAGGCGATCCAACTGATGGAGGTGATGAAGCCCGCCACACCTTGAGGCAGTTCAGTCGGAAAGAATACTGCAGGTAAATAGTTATTCACCAAAAAGGTAAGGTCAGGTGGTGACGCAAGAGGAATTCCAATTAACTCATTCACTTCCGTAAGGATCCGAGTCCGGACCCTCCTTTTTGACGAAGGGGTCGAACCCCTGCCGTTCACAAGGGTGGCAGGGGCCCCGAGCCAAAACCCTTTGTTTCGGGTGCGGATCCTGATCGAGTTGGTTCAATCCTCAAGAGTCGGTGAACCAGACCGACTCCTGCCTAAAACCATTCTGGAACTGTTGTTCTTAAATTAGCACATCCTCCAAAAAGCGGAGCTTCATCCCTTTGGCCTCCTCCGCTCTCTCAAGCGCTCACCAAGTGGCTGGCAGCACATCCGACGGGCGAATTGTTGGGGCACTTCAAGCCGTCATAGTCGATGGCCTTGTAGAGGAAGACCACCGCCTGGCCGTGCCAGGAACGGTGTGACATGATGAACGACGGTGAAAAGGGCCACACGGCGACACGACACGCAGGACCAGAAGGGGGGCGAGAAAGACCCCAGAAGCCGGGAATCAGGTGCACCTGTTCATACAAGTATCGGTTCCTAGATATCCCAGACACTCCATGTATGCCATATATGCCCTACATTGGGGTGGTTTGGGGGGTCAATGTAGGCATATATGGCATAGATAGAGTGTATGGGTATGACACATTCTGAGACCAAGCTGCAAAACTTGATCTCATAGTTCTGTAGGATCATGAACAAACTCTTCAATCCCGTGCAGGACTGAACTAGAGCTCGAACTGAGGAAGATGCATTCAATGTATTGAATGCCCGTTCAGGATTCTAACTGCATCGTGATGAATCAATGACTTGGAATGTCCGTCAAGAATTTCTGTAGGTCAACAAATCTTCTATGAGTAAGCTTTGCCCTGTGACTCTAGCCTCATAGCCATCCTCCAATCTGGAGAAGCTCCCAACCCACCCCAAAAAGATCCGCCGACACCGGTCTAGGACGATGAATATGCTGCTGGACACTCTGCTGGCCCGCTGTTGGGCGTAAGTTTAAGGCGTAAGTTTATGCCCCCCCCCTTAAGGGCGTCCAAGTCCACCAAGCGGATTCGCTCCGCGCATGGCACGCTCGGCGGCATCCGCTCCAACCGCGCCAACCGCTCAGCGCATGCTCGCGCCGCTCAGGCGCTCGCTCCAGCCTGGCCCAAATAGGCCGCGCCCTGCACCACGTCGATGACGCACTCGGTGCGGATCCATGGCAGCTCCTCCGGCTGGGACTCGTAGAAGAGGTCGTTCAGGCTGCGCAGCTGCACCTTCGACTCCAAGCCTCGGTAGCATCCGAGCTGTCACGGGGCGGGTTGAAAAAGGACGTCTGTTGGTTTCTTGCTGCAAAGCATCTGGACTGTTTGAAGTGGTCGTAGTGAAGACTATGTTCTTTTCTTCAGTTTGGAGATGCTTTGAGTCCTTGAATTGGCTTTTAAACATTTGGTTCTGCCGCTCTGCCCAAGAACGAATGAATCCCTGACTCATGACCATCTTCAGAGTATCATGGCAATTTGCATTTAGAAGTATGGCTTGCAAGGAGACAGGAACCACAGGTTCTTCGATGTTCTTTGTATTATAACATGTTCCTAATTCCTAATCTTGCAAAACGGGTTCCCCACACAAAAACCATGTAAGTGAGACGGCTGCCACGTTCAGGACGTGACTGACCACGTCTTACCCATCGTTCGAGCTTCGACGACCCATCTCCATTCGAGCTTCTCTTGGCCTGTTCGATGACCTTATCAATGCCCGGAATCTCCTCCCAGTCGGTGATGGTCTGCATGATGCTCGCTTTCCTTTCGTCACCGGCCGTCGCCAGCTGTTCAAACCAACGACATCCCGCCGTCTGGTGGTATCACCCAGCTTCGTGTCAGGGGTATCATGCCCAGAACAGGCCCGAACCCCCTCTGACCGCCCTCAGTGACTCAGGCGTTTACTCTTCTGCCGACAAGGCGGATTCCCACCCTATGATGCGGTATCAGTTCGTTATCCTTCATCCACCACACCTGTTCCACCCTGGCCACCCTCGCCCCCCCTTCCCCTTCTTCCATTGGAAGGCTCTCAGGTCTGACGGCTCGGTAGCCCACCGCGCCCAGCGCCAGCACCGCCAAAGTGGCCAGGGAACCCAATGCCGCCCAGCGCCACGCCGCGCGCCCCGCGCTCTTCGGAACCTCCCCGCGGTGCGCCGAACGATGCCGAACGGCGGGTGGTGCTGGTGGTGTTTAGAACAAAGGAGTTACAGGAACCAGTCGGTCATCCATGGATATTCCATGGATATGTTCATCCAAACACCCCAAACACGATGAGGATGGGAGAAGTTCCACCTTTGACACGGATAGAGAGAACATTGTAAGTCTTGCACACCATTTTGAATTTGGCGACCGCCAATGGTGTTGATTTGAATCACGGGCGGCAATCTAATCAGCAAAGCTCCGAACCATTCCGAATCTATAATCACCTGCCCAAACACCCAATGGTGAAAAGAAAATACACTGCCTGAAATGACCGTGGAAGTGGACAGTCGAACAAAAATTTATCAAATAGGCCCCTGGAAAACCCTAGTCTCTACAAACAGGTGGTGCCATCCGCTTCAATGACTTGCAGATGTCATTCTTGTTGTTTCAATCTTTCAAAGGACATCCGTGCTGTTTTCCAGCCCTTGGCGTTGGGATGCGTTGGGGTGTTCGATCGCCGTGAAGGGAGGGGCAGTGCATCTCGACCGCATTTCGGCAGCCTCTGGTACTTCGACCAAGAGCTCCATGGCATCCTCCTGCATCGCCATGAGTTTGGGGGGAACCTTGAGCAACAAGAGTTCGGATCCTTCTTGAGGTCGTTGAGCCGAAAAACACTGCGATGGACGGCCAGCCGAGAGGATTGTTTCTTCACAGCGAACAGGTCGTTCTTCCAGTGCCCATCGCCACCAGGTGTTGGCGAAGTCATGTGGACATGAAGACTGGATTGGGCCGCAACTTGACCAATTTGAGGATGCTTTGAGGATGTGCAAGGAGCATTGAGGAGCTTCCAGAACCATCTTGCCTAGCGGGACCCGCTACACAGGCAAAACGCACCCGACACATCCCGACACCAATAGGGAATGTTTGGCGATCTTTGGCGCGGAGAGTGTCGTTCACCTATCAGTGTGAACGTCCCTTGCAAAAGGGCCCTCAGCCCAAACGCCCCTCCGCCTTTTTCTCAGAAAATCCGAGCTCCGCCCCGTCATCGTGGGCGTCAGTGGTTGCCGCCAAAACGTTAAAGTCCTGCAGCGCTCCATTTTAGGAGCTCAAAAGATCAGGAGGAAGCCCTCCCCACGTGCATTGAGCCGGGGACCTGCCCCGCTGGGGTCCATTTGCAAAGCAGCTCCCCACAGCAAGGTTTGGAAAACAACATGAAAGTGGCAAAGCGATGTAAGGTGCAAGTGTTCCATGCAATGAACGTCTCGCAAGAAGACATGAAAGGATAGCGGGACATGATTTGCTTTGAGAAGCAAAGAGTATATGTAAGCAAAACGTTCAAGCCGAGCTACATTCCGATTGCTTTCAACAAGCTATCATTCCCAAGTTGTGGTTGGTATGGTATAGGCCTGAAAACACCCTCTGTCTCGTTCCAAGCGTGGTCTAGAAGCGAACGGGATCTTCGCTGCTTGGTGGACTGCTCTGAATGATGCAAGTTGGCAAAAGCCTTTTCTGGCTAAGCATGGACATTTGCCTTTGCTACTTGATCAGATCCTCAGACTCAACTCGTCCAAGCCTGCTTTTTATCAACCAAGAAACCCGCCGGTTTTCGGTGGAGCATGGCATGGCACGGCAGGAATCTCCTGTTTTAGAAGTGAACTGCTGAGACCTCACCGAGTGTAAGATTGATCCAACCCACAAGTGCTGGTTGGTGGTTTCAACGAAATTGAAGGAAACATATTGCTTTACTTATTAAGTAGGTGACATCATCCCGAGTAGAGGTTTTTCATCAACATACGGCGTACGACGTGGTTTCACAGTTGGCAGCACCCCAGGCATCCCAGGTGTCGGTCTGGCGTGTTCGATGGGCACCCAGAGTCCCATCAATTGGCCCGACACCGGACAGGCCAATCTCCGGGCATGCAAGTAATTCTAATATATAGTAGTATT